AAAAGAGAACTACAGGCCAATCTCCTTAATGAACATAGATGCAAAAATCCTTAATAAGATACTAGCAAACAAAATACAGAGGATCATCAAGAAGACCATTCATCCCGACCAAGTCTGATTTATTCCAGGGATGAAAGGATGGTTCAACATAAGTAAATCAATTAATGTAATACACTATATTAACAAAGTCAAGGACAAGAACCACACAATCCTCTTGATAGATGCAGAAAAAGCATTTGACAAAATTCAACACCCATTCATGATAAAAACTCTGCAAAAAATTGGAATAGATGGTCTATGTCTCAATTTAATAAAGGCTATCTATGAAAAACCAATAGCCAACACCATATTAAATGGCCAAAAAACTGAAAATCTTCATATTAAAATCAGGAACAAGACAAGGATGCCCACTATCACCACTCCTCTTTGGTATAGTTCTGGAAACATTAGCCATAGTAATTAGACAAGAGAAAGAAATTAAAACAATAAAGATAGGAAAGGAAGAAGTTAAACTGTCATTATTTGCTAATGATATGATACTCTACATTCAAGACCCAAAAAACTCCACTAAAAGACTTCTTGACTTAATTGACACTTTGGCAGAGTAGCTGGATACAAGGTCAACACCCAAAAATCAATAACCTTCTTGTACACAAATAGCAGACTCACTGAGAAAGAAATTAGGGAAACAATTCCTTTCACAGTAGCACCCAAAAAATGAAGTATATGGGAATCATCCTAAGAAAAGAAGCAAAAGACCTCTACATTGAAAACTACAACACTCTGAAAAAAGAGATCAATGAGGATTTAAGAAACTGGAAAGATGTCCCCTGCTCCTGGGTAGGAAGAATCAACATAGTGAAAATGGCCATAGTACCAAAACTGCTATACAAATTCAGTGCAATACCAGTTGAAATCCCAACACTATACTTCACAGAACTAGAAAGAAGAATCCAAAAATTTATTTGGAACCATAAGAGACCTAGAATAGCAAAAGCCATACTAGGCAACAGACACATGGCAGCGGGTATAACAATTCCCAATTTGAAACTATACTACAAAGCCACTGTGATAAAAATAGCATGGTACTGAGGATCAGTGGAACAGATTGGAAGACACAAAAACTACTTCAGATGCACTCAGCTACCTCATCTTTGACAAAGGAGCTGCCAGTCCCCACTGTAGGAAAGATAGCCTCTTTAATAAATGGTGTTGGAAAAACTGAATCTCAACCTGAAAAAGATTAAAATTAGACCCTTATCTGTCACCATGCACTACATTAAAACCCAAGTTGATTAAAGATCTAAACATAAAAACAAAAACACTAAACTTGCTGGAAGATAAGTTAGGCAGAACTCTGGAAGACATTGGCATAGGAAAAGATTTTATTAACAAATACTCAGTAGCAAGGGAACTAGCAGAAAGAATGAACAAGTGAGATCTCATTTTATTAAAAAGCTTATGCACTACAAGAGAAACCATCAACAGAACTAAGAGACAACCTACAATGTGGGAAAAACTTTTTACCAGCTGCTTCTCAGACAAAGGACTATTATCTAAAATATATAAAGAACTCAAAACAACCAGCCCCCCCAAATATAAAGACTCAATTCTAAAGTGGGCATCTGAAATGAACAGATGTTTCTCAGACAATGAAATAAAAGAAGCAAGTAAATATATGAAAAAATCTTCCACATCACTGGTCATTCGAGAGATGCAGATGAAAACAACAATGAGATTTCACCTCACCCCGCAAAGAATGGCTGCTATCAAGAAATCAACCAATAACAAATGTTGGTGGGTTGTGGGGAGAAAGAAACCCTTCTCCATTGTTGGTGGTAATGCATACTGGTGCAACCACTGTGGAAGTCAATATGGAGATACCTCAAAGAACTAGGATTAGAGGTTCCATCTGACCCAGCCATCCCTCTGTTGGGTATCTTTCCAAAAGAAGTGAAAGTATCATACCATAGCGATATATGCGCACCCATGTTTATAGCGGCACAGTTTGTAATAGCTAAAATTTGGAAACAGCCCATCTGCCCATCAATTGGAAACTGGATAAAGATGTGTTTTTTCTACAAAATGGAATACTACTCAGCCATAAAGAATGAGAAAGTAGATTCATTCATAGTTAAATGGGTACATTTTGAGGATATACTTCTTAGTGAAATAAATAAGGCACACATATGCAAATACCAAATAGTATCTCTGGCATGAAAAACTAAAATAGTACTCAAGATCCTAATGGGACACTTAGCAAATAGGAAGAAAAGGACCAAAGGTGTAGGGACAGTGAGAAGGATATGGAAGGGGGAACAAGGGAAAAGGAAAAAGAATATGAGAAAATGTAAAAATGGAATAAAAGTGTTTGAAGGTGAGGAGGGGAATTGGAGGGTGAAGGGAGGGTGGGGACAAGGGGAAAAAATCAGAACCAAGACCTGGCATGTAAAGGTACAAGATCCCAGTAATGAATGTAACTGTACTGTCTACCTAGAATGTACCGATAAATTACATTTTTTAAAAAAAGTCCCCATTCTTTTTACAGCCTGGCATAAACATGAATGGCGGCAAATGCATACCTGCCGTCCTTGTGAACATTGATCCTCTTTCCTCGTCCCCATCTCAAGGCTTGTGTGAGGGCTATCCGTTCTGCCTTTCGAGGAGAGGTACCTTCAGGGAGGGCTTGGGCCCTGATGACCTCCCGTTGGGTAGTGACTGTTGCTTCAGCTTATGGACCCTTGTTTCACAAAGCTGTTCCCATCTAAGCACAGGGTCATCTCGGCTCCACCTGAAGGAGTGTGTTGAAGATTAGACTAGCAGGCTTGGGTGGGACCAAGGAAATCCTGGTGGTCATGAATCACTTCTTCTGGTTGTCGTCTGGTAACAGGGTATCCAGATGTACAGCCAGAGTGGGGCAGAAGGAGAGTCTGGACTAGTTGAGAAGGAGGCTTTGATACTGGGCGATATAGGTGTCTGACACCTATACCCATCCGTCTATGGCCTCTCAGAGCAAGGCCTCCACAGCATTTGTGGCAGTTATTTGTAGCTTCTGGTCCAGTGTCAATTTATCTGCTTCTCCCGCCAAGACAGGAGTACCAGCCATCGCCCTTAAGCAGGAGGGCCACCCAGAGACCACAGTGCCCAGTCTCTTTGATAAATAGGCTACTGGCCTTTTCCAAGGGCCTAAGTTTTGAGTGAGTACCCCATTTGTTATGCCCCTGGCCTCATATGTGAAAAGTCTGAATGACTTAGTTACATCTGCTAATGCCAAAGCCGGGGGTGACAGTAGGGCCTCTTTTAAAGCTTGGAATGCCTCTTGTTCTTCCTCAGCCCATTTTAATGATTCAGCCCCTCCAGCAGTAGCTGAGTACGAGGGCCTGGCAATCTCTGTGAATAGCCAACAATATTCTGCAGCCTCAAGGAACCGACATACCGGTTTCTTCATGGATGGAACAGATATCTTCAGGATGGCTTGCTTCAGGCCAAGGAGAGGCTGTGCTTACCTTGGCAGAATTTATAACCTAGACAAACCAACTTCTCCTGACATAACTGGGCCTTCTTTGCTGAAACTTGGTACCCCAATTACTGCAAGGTCCCAGTTCGGTCTCTTGTCCTAGATATACAATCCTGGGAGGTCATGTCTCTTTCAAGTCTTGCACTAGCTGGTAATCCTGATTTCCAGGTTTCTGGACTGGCAAGAATGAAGTGTTCCATAGGGGCTTCTAAAGGCCATTCATCACCTAAACAATGCATCCTTGGTCCTTTTGGGTTTGGTGACCTCCATGTGGTGAATGGAGGCCCCTCCCAAGTCCTAGAGAGATTCAGATAAATCTCCAAGGAAATGCCTTCTGTTCACAGCTTTTGGTGAGGGTCACTGTCCCCGTTCACAGGGGTTACAACTGATGTTCGGATGATCAGTACCACCAATCATCACAGATGAGCCCCCAAATGAAGCAGCAAACTTCCATTTGATTTATATGGCTTATATTTGCTAGTTCAGGAGTTTGGAAGCACACCAGAGGCTGTGCAGATAGAGCATTAAGTTTAATTATGCGAGCAGGCCAGTCTGTGCTCATGTGTGGGAGGCTGCCCCTTCTCACCCTTGAACAAAGAAAGTGAATTTCAAGTGAGGTGTTTCAAGTGAGGCAACTTTGGTATACATTTATTGGTTACACAAATTGAACATGCATTAGCAAGTGGGCTCAGTCATGGTATTGGCTCATTCATAATACCGGTATCATGCCTATTGGATGATTTTAGGTATGAGGTCTATCTCATCTGCATTCTGGTGAAATAACAAAACTCTTCTCTCCTGTTTATAATATCTGTTTGAATCTGTCTCATGATTCCATTTCTCTTGTATTCTGAGATCATGGATTCCATCATGTTCCTGAACTCCTCTATCTCCATATATATATATCTATATATAGATAGATATCTATATATCTATATCTATATCTATATCTATGGATTTAGTGTAGTGGATTTATCCTCTGGGAAGGAGACTTAGAAGGATTTGGGGGTGACAGAGAAGCTTAAGGAGAGGGAGAGGTTAGAAATAGGACTAGATGACATAGGAAAAATCACACAAACTGGGACACTGGTGAAGACAGGAAAAAAGAGAGACTGAAGTAAAAAAAAAAAAACACAAGCACAAAGCAAACTAATAGCAACAAGACAACTAGAAACTGTATTCACTGTCCTATAAGAATAAGAAGAATTGAGCTCAGCGTCGTGGTGCACTCCTCTAATCCTGGAAGCTGAGGCAGGAGGATTGTTGGGAGTTCAAGACCAATGAGTTCCAGGGCTGTCTCAACTCCATAGTAAGACCCTGTCTCAAAACAAACAAACAAACAAACAACAAGAAGAATATGAACAATTGAAAGAGAAAAATAAATTTTTAAGAAAGGAGAGAAATGAATGAAAAGAAAGAGGAGAAGGAGAAGAAGAAGAAGAGGAAGAGGAAGAAGCAAAAGCAGAAGCAGAAGCAGGAGAAGGAGAAGGAGGAAGGAAAAAGAGAAAAAATAATAGTGGCATCCTCTTCAAGGCATGTCTCCTGTCACTGATAGACAACCTGAATAGTAACCTGAAGACCCAAGTCAAACAATTTCAGCTAGCCCACAGTCTTCCACTGAGATCCAAACTGGTTTCTGGCTGTAAGGCCAGAATTGAGCTCCCAGACTTTCAGAGGGTTCTAGTTGAGAACCTCCCCCTACAGTGAGTCTGGGTTTGAGATGGAGGTGCTGATCCCACAAACTCACCAACCACTGTAGTTTGCTGAGTCCTCACTACAATGTCTCTCTTTGCTCTCCCTGAGGGCTTCAGCTTCCTGACTTCTGGGGTTGAGATCTGGAGTATTTCCTCAATCAGCAGGCTTCCCTATGTCTCTTGCCCAAGTCTCCCCTTTGTGATCCTGTCTGCTGAACAGCTCTCTCAGCCACTGCAGCACCTTTTGTGTGTATCCGCTATCCTGGTGTGGGAGCAGAGCAGGTGTCTCCATGTCTTTGTAGTCAAGGCCCTGAGTGGACCTGGAGCAGAGTCTGGCTGCTTCACAGCCTAAATTCCCTCCATCTGTGGACCAGATGCCAAGAATCCACTGCCGATGAATGTTTCTTTCCTTCTTTCTCTCAGGGTAATAAAGGGGTCTGGAAGAAGAGACGAAGAAAATGGGGATGTGAGAAGGTACCTGGGCTATCAGAGTTTGAGTTTGCTTCTCTGCCTGAAATGGAGACTGTGATCCAGTTGCTGTTCACTTTGGTTGTACCAGGTTTCTACTTTTCAACTCAAATTCCCTTGGTCCACTGACCAGCTGCCAGCAGTCCACTGTGGCTGGAGAGCTTTTCCCTTCTCTCTCTCTCTCTCTCTCTCTCTCTCTCTCTCTCTCTCTGGGCAGCAGAGCAGCCCTGGAGGTATGCAGCAACCTTGGGTGATGAGAGTTCCAGTTTGCTTCTCTGTCCCAAATGGCAACCTCAGCCTGGCTGCTGGAGTTTCACTTACTGACTTTCTTTTCCCCTGGAGTGGACCTTGGGGTTGTGGGTATTGTCTGGAATGTTCTCCACTGCCTGGCTGCTTCTGGTTATACAAGCCTTTCCCAATTCAGGTCCAGGTCTCTGATTGTGAGTGGTTGAGTTATTTTCACAGATCCCTGCCAGGGCCGGTATACTGAGGATTCCCTTGGCCCAGGGTCTTCAGTCTGACTGATTAACCTAATTTTCTATAGTAATGGATCCAATTTCCTTCTTCTCCTCTGTCTGTTCCCTTGATGTTCTCGTGTGCCCTCTATACCATTTTGGGGGGATTTCAGCTTGATGATTTCCAGGTATCAGGCACTTTATCCTGGAAAAACTGATGACTGCACTCACTATTCAAACATTTTTCCTCTTGCCATGAGAAATTTAAGTATCACGTATTGCAAAGTTATAAGGGAGGGGGCAGGGAAAGGGGATGAAAAAAGGAATTAAGAAGAGTTATGTACATGACAAGCTTCCTAAAGAAAATGCAAACATTATTACTACACACATGTACGAATAAAATAAAAACCAAAATTAAATGAAATGAAAAAGAAATAAAAGAAAAAGAAGAGTGAGGAAAAATAAAAAGCATATTTTTAAAGAAAGAAAGGAAGAACAAAAGAGAAAAGATTCAATTTTCCAGACTTTTTCACCTGAGAATGACCTGTGACACAGATCAAGTTAGTGAAATGTGAGTGGGTGGCTACTCGTCAGTGTTTCTAAGAAGGCCGTGTCTTTTCCTGATTTTTTTAAAAAGGGCAGATTGACCACAGTTTACCTTTTCTAATTCTTCCTCACCAGGACACAGACTAAATTTATCAAGGTAAAGCAGCCTTTACAAAATCTTGAAAGTGTAAGTCACATGCTAAGGATGGCCCAGGGGACAGCGGAAGACTCATCTACTTAATATTATCATTGTGGACCCAGGTACTTTCCCATGCTGGCCTGCTAATTTTATAACATTGGGAATTCTGTTTTGTTTTGCTTTTTTTTTTTTTTCCAGCATGAGCATTCTTACAGTCTCTGAGGAGGCTCAACAGTTCCAGATAATCGTATCCAGAATCAACAACTTTCTGGTTTCCAGAAGAAGGACAAATATTGCATTACAGAAGGAAGGACCATCATATGTTTCAGCAAAGATTCAGTCTGCAGGTTCGAAACTGAGAGCTTCTGTTCTCTTTATAAAACCATAGGTGAAGTCACCTGCTGAGAGTAAAAGAGGAAAGTGGGGCAAGCAAGGATCAGAAGACATTTGTCAAAAAATAGAATAGTAGAACAGTTGAGTTTGGTGATAACCCAGTGGAGGGGATGACTCTAAAGTTATACTGGTGACTATGTGTTATGGTCAAGTGAACTTTTTCTTTCCAGGAGCGCAGTAGACATTAGAGACACACGCAAAAGAAGAGAAGAGGGGAAATGTGTTTCAGTGTTAAAGTGATTGGAATGAAGAACCGGAAAATCTGAGCTGACTGCTTTGTTTCAAATAGAAATAAATAAAACAGTAACCTGAAGAGGACTAGTGAGGCAAGAGAAGGATCATACAGGCACTAATTTTAAAGGTAAGCAGAGCAATGGAAGATTGTGCTCAGGAAACATGATGACTGCGTTAGTATGTGTGGGGAGAGAAGAAACTCAAATTTTAAAAAATTATTTGTAAACCAAGAAAATATGAATTCTTTAAATTTTAAACAGAAGTTAAAAATGTTTGATTTAATAAAAAGCTAAAAATTCTTTGAGCAATCACATCTTCCCTCTCTGCAGAAAGTTATACATCTATACCCACAGAGAATATGTATTATATGCATGTCCCTTACTCTAAACTGGAACTTTTTAAAATTTTTAAACTATGCATAGTGTCAATAATTTAAAATATTTCTAAGGCCAAAGTATTGATACTTTTAATCAGTTTGTGACCATTGTGATACCATACTTGAGATGAACAATGAATAGGGAAACAAGAGTTTATTTGGCCTCACATTTTGGAGGTTTCTGCCCATGACCAACTAGACCTGTTGCTTTGAGCCTACAGTGACTCAGTATATCATGTCAGAAGCATCAGGCAGAGGTTATCTGTTCTTCTCATGGTGGACAGGAAGCAGAGAGAGAGAGAGAGAGAGAGAGAGAGAGAAAGGCCATGGGCTCAATATTCCATCCAAGGGCCCATACCTAGTGACCTAACTTATTCCCACTAGTTCCTACTTTTTAAAGTTTCTACCACTTTCAAAAGTATCAGAGGCTGGGAACTAAGTCTTTATTACCAGAATCTTTGTAGGGCATCACTGATCAAAACTATGGCAGATAAAGTACAGATATGAAGGAAGTTGCTCCATCAGCTCCTTTCTGCAAAAGAAACACAAATTTCATTACTAAAAATTAAAAATACAAAAGTTTCCCCATAATCACACCTCACCACAAAAGTCCTAACTCCCAACCTCTGCATCATGAAAAAAAAAAAAAAAGTAACATGAACACTATTCTTTCTCTAACAACTTTCTAGCCAGTTTTATTGTTATTCACAGAAAATATGCTTATCTAGAACTTCCAGAAGGGCTGCACAAAGAGCTCTGTAGGTCTGTCAGTGAAATAACCATAAATTGTAAAAATTATTTTTAAAAGAAAGATTTTGAGAAATTAACTTTGGGGAATACAGGAAATGACAAAGGAATTATTCAGGAAAGTCAACTAAATGTTGACAGAAGCAGTGAAGATTCTGTCACTCTCCTATCTCTTGTGGATAGAAGCTCCTTTCTAGTTGGGTGTAACTCTGAAGACAAAGACTCCTTCCCCCAGGTCACATTCAAAGGCTACATTGTCTCCCTTAGAGAGAGTGGCCATCAACACCTCTGTTTCCTTCTCCTCTTTCTCCTTAAGGCCAAATTCCATGCATGTAAAGCCGCAATGTAGGGGATCCTGTCCTTCACTAGCTCCTGATCATGGAGACTCTCTCTTGTACAGCATGTGACAGAATCAAGAATCATCTTCACACTGCTCAGGCATGGGGTAGAAGTTCTGTGCAATGAGGGAAAATATCATCTCAATTCCTGCAGAAGAGGTTGGAGAAAATCCCAAACCTTCTTAGGGGTAAAAAATAAAACACACTTGACAAACTATCTCACCCTGATAAAGACATCTATAAAAGTTCACACAGCTAATATCAAACTTTCTATTGAAAAATTGAATATTTTTCCTGTAACATCATCGATGAAGATTAGGGGTGAAGCAAACCAGACAACCAACTGGGTAGAATGTGTCAGAAAGTTATAAAAAGCAGTGGCCCAGAGGCTGAGCAAGATGTTTCTTAAAAAGAGAGGACATGCACAGACTATAATACCAAAAATGATGTCAGGCTTATGACTCTTGAGCACTGTGGAGCAATCAGAAAAGAGGTATCTTCTGTCCTTCATTTGAATCTGACACTTTTGCAGGACCAATCAAAAGGTGCTATTTCCAATTCTTCATTTACATGTGTGTACATCCATTCAAAAGATGCTGTTTCTGATCTTTCATTTACATGTAGTGAGAAGCTGAGATAATTTTTTCATAGAACAGTTTATATCTGGCATGTGGCCAAGTGAGTGTTTGACAGAACAGATGTCCCAGTGCCTATTTGCACTGGAAGCTAATCCAGGTATTTGGGGTACAAAAATTCCCGTTCTTCTTTTCCCCTGGTCCATTTTGAACCTACACAGTATAGAGTAACTGTTTTCTTCCCTTGATAAATGTACACTTTTTTTGCCTTTTCTGTGTATCTAGCCCATTTCTTTGCTCAGGACATCAAGGACCTGGAGACCCCTCATCCAGTAACATCAACACAAGGCAAAGATGTCTGTTTTCTCATTTCTACTCAAGTTAACATTGTGCTAGGGACTCTGGCCCAGGCAATTAGGCAAGTGTGACCATTAATTTTATGTGTCAACATGGCTTGGCCAATGAGTCCTCAAACACATGGTTACACATTATTTTAGATATGTCTGTGATGGCGTTTCTAGATGAGAGTAACATTTAAATTGGAACTTGTAGTCTGAATGAAACAGATTGACCTCCCTTATGTGATGGGCCTCATCCAATCACTTAATGAACTGAATGGAACAAATGCCCAGTAAGGAGAAAACCTTCATGGTGGGCTAAACTTCAAGAAGTACATCTCATCCCTCACTTTGATAGGAAAAATGACCAGACTTGTAGTTTATAGCTGTTTATGGACTGCAGCCATTAGTTTTGGCTGGATGATCAGACACTTGGAAGGAATATGATTGCAAAACTGGTAACAAGAAAATTTGAGGAAGACATGCAGATAGGTGTCTCCAAATAGACAAAAAATCATAAATATATTTTATCTAGTTTGAATGTTCACCAAAGGATCACCTACCAGAGAAAAATTTTAATAATCAAGAGGGTATAATGATATAATCTACTACCTTTGTCGTCATTTAATGAGTCATGAACAAACTGTCTATGATGGCAGGAATGGGAGTTAAGCATGGACTCAGCAACATGACTTCCCTTCACCAAGGCCAATCTGGCTAGACACTGCTAAGTCTCAATCTGTCAGGAGCAGAGACCAACATCAAGTCCTCAATATGGTGCCATTCCCTGGGATGATCAGGCAAATTGGTTACATTTGATCATTTCCACCATGAAGGAGGCAGCATTAATTCTTGTTAGAAAAGATATTACATTGGACACAGATTTTCTTTTCCTGCATGCAATGCTTCTGCCCAAACTGTCAGGGGGCCAGCAGAATGTTTTATCTCCCATCATAGTATTTCATACAACATTGCTTTTGGTCATTGAATTTTCTTCATAACAATTGAAATGTGGCAATCAGCCTAAGCTAATGGAATTTATCCATCTAACCATCCTTCCACTATGCTGATGATAGTTTGTCAGAATTGTGAAATGCCCTTTTGAAGGCTCAGTAATGGGTCCAATTAGGTGGAAATACTTTACAGGACTGAGACAAGATTCTCAAAGAGACTACATATGCCCCAAACCAATCAAAATCGAACTTAGTGTTTTTCCTCCCATAAGTAGAATGTATACGTCCAGAAATCAAGAGATAGAAATCAACTAAGTACTACACCTAGTGACTCACTAGAAAAATTTTTTTCCTTTTGTTCTCATTTCATCCTTTGTTGGAATAGAGGTGTTAGTTACAAAAGGAGGAATATTTCCACCAGGGAACAGAATGATTCTATTGAACTGGAAGTGAAGATTGCCTCCCACCTCCTCTGAATAAACAGACAAAGAAGTAGTAACTGTGCTAGTTGGGGTTATTGATGCCAATGAAAACCTAAAAAAAACAAAGACTCTTCAAAGACTTATAATTTTATTTGAGAATGTCAGGGTATTGTGATGAGATTATTCATGCCATAGTAAACTATGGAAGTGTTAAAAAAAAGTTGGGGCAAGGAGTGATTTCTAAAGAAAAAAGAAGGATTGCATCATATATTTTGAAAAAAGCGATCTTTTGCCATAATCATTAGTAACACGAGTAATATAGGTCTGAGGTTGAAAAATGATTGCAAGGAAGATGCCTTAGTAGAAGTACTTTTTGCATAAGTTGATAAGGGCTTCTGAGAGTTTGTGAGTCCGGCAGTCTTTTGTGACAATTGTTACCAAGCAATCATGCATAATAATCTGTCCTTCTTAACCTCCTGATTTTATTTTCTTGGGGGGGGTAGCATTGACACAAATGACTCAGTTATGATTCTAACAAGTTTCACATTTCTTTCACATGAACCATCAGATGAAAATTAGAATTCTACTCCACAATAAAAGTAAGGCAGAATATGTTTTCAAAATAAGAGATTTCATAGGATAATGAATTATTATGACTATGACCTGTAATTAAAGTTAAAGAAAAACTACAAGAACTCAAACCAGGCAATACTACTTTACCCAAGCTGGGTGTGATGGCACTGTCCTGTATTCTTAGTACTGTGGAAGGCTGAGTCAGGAGGATTGCAATGTCAAGCCTGACAAAGGCAATTTAGTGGCTTAGAGAGCTCATGCCTCAATAATGGTAGTGGTGGTGGTGATGGGGTGGGAGGAATCCTGGGGGATGTAGCTCAGTGTGAAGGCCATTGGTTCAGTCCCCAGTAACCACATAACAATTTTAAAACACACATACACACAGAAACAAACCACTACTTTCTCCAGACCCTTCAGGATTAAACATTTGAGATTCACCTCATCAGGTAAAGAAACAGTCAGAATAGGGAATGGAAGAAGGTAGTTATAAATATCAGTGGTGCCTTTTAATCTTTTGAGTGTGTGTGTGAAACAAATATCTTGGTTTTTTGACACTTTTATCATGTGACATAAGACGTATTAAGTTTGTAGTATAGCATTTAAAATCTGTGATTTTATACCACAGTGTTTATGTCATAGGTTAATGCTATGGTTTGGGTAAGTGTCCCCCAAAGTGCATGTGTTAAAGGCTTACTTGTCAGAATGTGATGCTGTAGACAGGTGATAGAAAGACAGGACAACAGTGTGAGACACACTTCCAGGGAGGAGGGACACTCCCAATACAGTAATGTTATTGCTGTACACAAAACCAATCAGAAAAGTTCTATTTTGGACCAATCAGAAACTTGATATTTGTAATCCTTCATTAGAATTTGGTGCTGTTCAAGGAACCAATCAGAAGATGCTCTTTTCAGTCTTTCATTTGTATGTGGGCACAACCAATCCAAAAACACTATTTCTGATCCTTCATTTACATGTAACAAGAAACCAAATGAGTTTTTAAAATAGAATAGGTTACACATTTTAATTATTATTAGATAATATTAATTATTTGATAGAATTACTTTCCCAATGCCTTATTCATATGAATGAAAGACAACCCAGAAATTTTGAGTAGAAAAAAGGCTCCTTTCCCTTTAGGACACTATGAGCCTTTTTGCTGACTTGCTCTCACTGTATGTAGCATATTTCTTTACTACCTTAAGTAAGTGCACACTTCCATTGCCTTTTCTGTGTGTCATGTCCAATTTTTTGTTTGAGACACTAAGAACCCAGAAAGCAAGCAAGCCCATGGGACTCTCCAACCAGTCACAATAGAATCTTTAAGAAGTAAGGCCTCGGGCTGGGGATTTGGCTTAGTGGTTTCAACAACTGCCTTGTAAGGGCCTGAGTTCAATTTCTGGTACTCCCAACCCCCCAAAAAAATAGAACCAGGAAAAAGTAAGGCCTAGTGGTAGGAAGTTGGATGGCTGGGGATAGGCATTTGAAGGAGATTTTGGTACCGTGCTCCTTTTCTCTTTTCCATCTTGGTTCCCATGTGGTGAAGAGTCTTTTCCACCATGTGCTTCCACTAGGATATTCTGCCTTGCCATGGGCCTGGAAGCAATGGAGACAAAGGACTATGGATTGAAATCTGAGACCAAGCTAAAGTAAGCCTTCCCTCCTTATCCACTGATTATCTCAGGTATTTTGCCATAATGACTGTAAGCTCACTAACCCAGTTACTAAAGAGAATAGCAATCATTATTTGAGGACTTCACTTATAGGAAAAGGGTAAGTACATTTACAGTTGTGTTCAAGAGGGTTTTAGCATGTTACATACAGTTTATGACCTTTTTATTGATTTTTCGCTCATAGTTTAAGCATGGTTGAAGGAGGTGTAGATATATATTGAAAAAAGGGGCATATTTGAATTTCTTCAGTAATCTCACAGCACTCCCAAAACTTTACTTGACACAAAACATTCGCTTTCTACCACACAATAATTCAATTTATATTCTTTACCAGACACCAACTAGATCTCTTACAATTTTTTCAATTATGACACTAGCTGGAGGCAGAATCAGATCCCACAGTTAAGGGGCTCAGTCCCAGAGGACCTTCCCCAGCACCTCAAATGCCATTTGCAAGTAGTTTATCTTGATATTACTCACATCTATCCAAGTTGGCTACAAAGCAGATGTTCCCATGACTGTCCTTCCTTCACAGAACTATTAAACAGTTTACTTACTAGATTAGCAGTCTGTTACAAAGGGTTTAACTCAGACACAGCCAAATAGAAAAGGTGCATGGGACAAGTTATGAAGGCAAAGAGCATAAGGCTTCTACTGCCTCTCCAGGAGAATCTTGCTACTTGCAATTTAAATATTCACCAATCTCAAAGCTCTTTAAATCTCAACCTTTACAAATTTTAGAGAGGCTTTTTTACGTAGGCATGTTAGCTAAAACACTGACCATTGAGGATTTAGCCAATCTCCAATTCCTCTTCACTCTCTGGGGTTCAGGGTGTGAAGCTTAAAGATCTAACCCTCTACTCACATTTTTGGTTCCTCAGGTAAACAGCTTCCTATCTTTAGGGAATTTCAGAAAACACTTCATTAACATAACTCAGGTGTGGTTGAAAGGGATTTTCTGTGGATAACAAAACAAGGTCTTTTCATCTTAGTTCTTATTATTTAGGAAATTATAAGGGTTTTTGGATCTCTATCCAGAAATCAAAGCTAAAGACCAAATACATATTTTTGTATTATGATAACTCAAATGTCTAATTGACAAAGGTTGCTCTTATGTTAGATAAATGCATATCAATTTTCCTGGGTGATAAAGTGTTCAAATATTTGATTAAGCATTATTCTAGATGTGTCTGTGAGAGTATCTCTCTGAATATGATTAACATTAGAACTATAAGTCTGAATAAAGCAAATATCTCTTTTTCATGTTGAGGCCTAAATAGAACCAAAAAGGGGCTGTGCAAGAGGAAACCCTTCCTGCTTCTGTCCCTTGGATTCAAACAGAAATATCAGCTATTCCTGAGTCTAGGGCCTCAGGCTTTAAAATTATACAATTTCCTATGTCTCTGATTTGCCAAATATGGATAATTTTTTCAGCTATACAATCCTGTTCACCAGTGTGCTATCATAAATATCTTTAGTTAGATACATAGATTGTTTCTTCAATAATCCTCAGTAATAAGGTTAGAAAATGAAATAAAATTGACATTCCTGTTTGAAGAAAAGATGTAAAACTATCTTTATTTGCAGATTACTTGACTTTATATATAAATCTTAAAGAACCCATTTTAAAAACTGTCAGAATTAAAAACGATGACAAATAATGTTAAAGGATACAAGATCAAAATCTTATAAATGTATTTCTATATAATAAAATCAATAATGCAAGTCCCTTTAGTATTGTTGTTGAGTACCTCCTTCTAAAAGTGGCTTGCCAAATAAACATTATTGGGTTTTGTGATGCTCTCATTTCTTTCCGGAGTTAGATTCCATGTTCTTCTTGTCTCAAACAAAATATTGAATGAAACAAGCTGAAAGTTTTGACAAAGTTTATTTGGAAAAGCAAAAGTGAAGAAAGAGGGAAAAACTGGCTCTGCACAACCAGCTTGAGAAATTGGCTCTGTAGAGCAAACTCGGGTTAAAGAGAAAAAGTCACCCTAGAAGACATATAATGGGCCATCTTGAGGAAAGCCATGATACTAACCATTTCTTGTAGTCTGTGTCATTTTGTGTTACCCACATTTTGAGGAAACCTACAAGAACTTCTACATATGGTTTTGAGAGGCAGCACTAGGATCCCATGCCTCAGGCTGACATCAAGTCTAGGCTGTCCTATGGAAAACCTGCTTGAGTTCTCATGAGAAGACCATGTGCTGGGTGGCTTTGGGAACTGTTCTGCGCTGGTATTCTGAGATATTATAATCAACAGGTCATGCCTACTTCCACTTCCCCAGGCAGGTTTGCCATACCCTAATCTCTTGTCTCAGTGTCACAAAGCATAAAATGTCCAGAAATAAATTCAATAAAGTTAATTTAAAATTACATGCTGAAAATCACTATTTTAAAAAGAAATTAAAAAAGACCTAAGTAAATGGAAAGATATCCAATGTTCATGGATAGAAGACAATAATATTAAGATGGATTTTTACTCCACAAATTGATCAAAAGATTTAGTATAATCCCTATACAAATATTCCTCTTTTTTTTTAATTGTAAAATTTTTCTTATACCATATATGGAACATGCAAGCATTCAAATAAAAATTATAGAAAGGATCTACATAGATATTGTCTACAGATAGGACCTAAAAGTCCAACAATCACATGAAAAATTATTCAATGTCACTAGTCATCAGGGGAATGCAAATCAAGACAGCAACAACACATACCACTCCACTTCACTAGGATGGATATAACCAAAAATGGTAATAGCAAGTTTTGTCAAGGATGTGGAGAAATTGAAACTTTTATACATTGCTGGTAGGAATGTGAAACAATACAGCTGCTTTGGAAAGCACCTAAGCACTTTCTCAAAAGTTTAAAAATAGAGTTACTATATACTTAGAAATTTTATGCAATGATAAATACCCCCTAAAACATGAAAATATAGCCATACAAAAACCTGTATGTAATTATTCAGTCACATTGATATAGCCAGAAAATAAGAACAATTTATGTTTTCAAACTTATGTGTCAATAAATATGTAAATAAAATGTGATATATTCATAAAATGGTGTATGGTTTGGTGATCAAAAGAATGTAATACTGATAAGTGTTGCAAAGATGAACTTTTAAAAGATTATGCCCCCCTAAAAAAAGATTATGCCAACTGTAAGAAGCCAGTCTCAAAAGACTACATACTATACGATTGTATCTACATAAAATATGAGGAATGGGAAAAATCTATTGAGATAAAAAGTAAATTAATAGTTCCAAGGTCTGGAGCCTGGGGTTAAGTGGGACTGGCTATTCATGGAAATAAAGCCTTTTTGGGGGGGAATGGTGAAAATGTTCTCCATTGATTTTGTTGATGGCTTCAAAACTTTGTAAATATATCTAAAACCATTGACTTGTCTATTTTAAATGGATGAATTGTATGGTATATGAATATATCTCAAATAAAGATTATTTTGATAAAGAAAAAGCAAGCATTAGTTTTGCTTCTATAATACAGTTCCTCTGTTTTATAACACTTTTATTTAAAGCTATCTTCAAAAATATTTGCTATAATTTTTTACAAATAATTTTTTCTAAAGTTTTAAAGAAAATACCTTTAAAAAACTGTAGATAAATTCTGATTATACTGTTACCACTTAAGTGAAATTCCATGATAGTGGAGTCTAGCTTATGGGTTTGTCCAGGGAAAGAGAGTGTGGTGGCTTTGAGAAGCTTTAAAAACAACTGAAAGCTTGTTTTCAGTTAAAAACATCAATATTTTGCAAACAAATTTGGAAAAATTAAGATTTTAAAATCAGCTCATTTATAGAAATAATTAGGTAATTTTCATTCAACAATGATCATTCTATGCCGTAAATTTACCCTTGATATTTTCAGTTATTAAATAATAAATTTGATTTTTCTTTTGACTAATGATCATCCTTAATTTTCTGCTTTTGATAGCAGGACTACAGTATCCTGTTCAAGAGAAAAGTAGGCCATTTTAGATCATGGAATTACATGCACAGTCTATTTCCTTTGATTTTTTGAGTTAAAGATTTAAAATCATGTTGTATAGTATTTAAAATCATGTTGCCTTATTATTTATTTAGTTCATTAACGATAAAGGACTTAAAATTGAAACAATCATAGCAAAGGAAACCTTTTAAAAAACACATATACTAGTCAAAGCTGCAAAGCATTATGCAGTATTATAGGAACTAACCGGTTTTTGTTTTGTTTTGTTTTGTTTTTTGGTTTGTTTGTTTGTTTTGTACCAGGGATCAAACTCAGGACCTTCTGCATGTGAGGCAGGTACTGGAACCATGGAACTAAACCCCCAGCCCTCTAACCCCAGTATTATTTATTGGAACTTTAAGTGAAATTATAAGGCATACATGGCAACAATATGCTGCAACTTAATATTAACTCTAACAGTAATAGTAATAAAACTATTAAGATTTATATAGGTATTTAGTTCACAAATGATTTCCCTTATATTAGTTTCTTTGATCCTTATAAACTTTGAAGTATCTACTATTAATTTTCCAACTTCGTTGATGAGAAAATTGAAGTTAATAATTTGAAATACATGCCTGAGTTCTCAAAATCAGTAAGAAGTTTCATGTAAAAAACTGTACACTTGCAGATAATTGGGTATTAACCACAGGGTTGGGGTTATGATCCCTGCATTAGCTTGTCCATGCCTCATGTTAATCACCGAAAATTAATAGCCTAAGGGTTATAACTGTTGTTTGTGCCGTTCAAGTAGTTTTGACCTTCTGTATATTGAACACACAGTACAATTGTACGTTGCAACCCTCTTTAGGCAGAGTGAAGTCATGCGACCTGTTCTAGTCAATGAGTTAAGAGCAAATGAGATATAAGTCACTTCTACGTCAGAAGAGACAGGCTAGAAAGCAAAAATTCTTCAAGTGGATTGTTAGGGGTAACAGAGAATGATGCTGCTCTTTTACTCCTGAGCCCTTGTTTCACCTTTTGGGGGTAGACAAATATCATTTAATTGACTCTGATATAAACAATATACTGCTTCCTCTGAGACAGAACCCCATATTTTCAGGTTATCATGTAAGCGGCACTGTTAACAGTCTTCAGGAAGCCAGCCCACCCACTTCCAGTTTACAGAATGCAAAGAAGATTCGGCTTCATACATATGAGCCCATGAATTCTTTCTTTGCTGTAAAATGTTTCTTGATCGGATGTAATGCTATATATAATGCCATGATACCGACAATACATTCTGTAACTCCATGGATGGCGGGTTAGCAAACATTAATGTCAGGGAAGATAAGATCATATCCAGGATGTGTGTGTTTTAGTAAGGACACATCTCTACTCAACCTGTGAAATCAGAAGTTCAGATTCATCAACCTGCCAGGAAAATGTTGGCCTGGCCCCCTCATACCAGGCATTTCACTATATTTAGGGCTCACTGATGGTCTGTGCTGTTGTTAGAAAAGGTATGCAGCAGCAGCACTCATGAATTTAGCTTTGGTGAATAAACATACATGTTACCGAGCTCAAGCCTATACTCCATTCCTGATACCACAGAGTCTTAGCTCATGCACCTTAGAGCATGCAAAGAATGTGATGGCTGGGGAAAAAGGCTGACACCCAGAGTGCATAAGCCTGTCTGCACAAATATTAAGTCATTTATGCAGTATTAACATTTTGGTGGGTGTTTCACAGTCACAATATCTTTGTGAGCATTCTGAAGAGTCCATCCACATACTTCTCTAAACTCCCTATTATTAATCATCTGATATTGTTCATTCCAAAACATGGCCAGTCAAGCATTGGTTGCATTTGCAACTACACATTGATTAATATAGACCTGTATTTCTGGCCATTTTTCTTTCCTGACATTGCATATAACCAAAGGTCACACTGGAAGTTCTGGCCGCCAGGATTTGCCTTCACCATTCTTCTTCAGTTTACCCGTGAGTAGGTTTGTAGAGCTACAGCTGCCCATTTTTAGATATTACTAGGAAGTGGTGCAGAACAATGTTAAGAGTAAGAGTCTAGGAAACAAGGCATAGGCCTGGCTGTGGAACATTGTGTTATTTTACTTGCAGTCAAAAATTTGGCATTTGGTGATTTAAAGGCTTTAGTATCATATTAAGAATTCTTGCATTAATGAATACAGCAATCATCCCAATTTAATGTGTAACTGAGACCATAGGAAGAGAATGACCAATCAGATTTTGAGCTGTAATAATACTGAGTAGGTATGGGGTTTTCTTCTTTCAAGAGCTGTGGACTGTATTTCTAGGTACTTAAGACATAGCTGAATATGCTCTACAAGAGGGGTGTGAGGGCCATATGTAAAGAAAGGTGATGCGACTGTTGGACAGCCAAAGGGACAAATCACTGTAGAGATCCTTTCTCCTCTTCCCCTTCCACCATGCTGACCTTCTCCACTGATCAGCACCAATATGGCCTTTACGTGTTTAAAACATTCTTTGTCTTAGGAATTTTCATGATACCTGGCCAGGTAGCCCAATGCAGGAAGGCAAACCCTTCCATTCTGAGCCTAAGACAATCAACATAGAGAAATGGAACCCTGCAGACATTTTTGTGGCAGTAATAACAGGAAGGTTCTGAGAGAGGCAGTGCAGAACTGAAGACAGAGACAGCACCTCTGTCTGCAGTGACATCAGTGACAACTGATACAATATATGAAGGCAATGTGACATTTAGTATTAAGCAATGGTAGCAGCACTGTATGCATCAGTGGTCCTGTGGCATGGTATTGGCTGAGATCCAAGCTGTGCTTCCTTGGTTTGTTCTCTCCATTTTATGGACATGCTTTCTGTAGCTCCTGGGCATCCTTTCTATATCTCCCATATCTCTGCGAGTCAAGTATCATTATGAATTTCCTCATTTAGAGATTGTATGAGCTTAAAGAGAAAAAAATAAAAAATTTAAATAATTTATATTCCTAGACTTCAGTAGAGAACCTTTTCGAGTACATCTGGTATTGTTGCATACTAACATACATTATAATCCTCAGATGAAAAATGTTATTACAGTTTAGTAACTAATGTAAGACACATAGGAAACAAATGCAACCTATACACTGGAATAGAATTAAATGAGAAATTGGGAACACAGTGTTATTTGGAAAGTCTGAAAGCGATGGGATTATAGCTAATTATTAAAGATGTGTAGGAGATATCATTTTGGGTGTAGGAATTACAAAGCAGAGAAACAAGTATATATATATTCACTGGGCAGTGACCAATTTGACTGAGGTGAGTGCATACCTTGAAATCAATAGGAGGTACATTTGATTAGTTAAGAGGAACTACACTGAAACTTCATCTTGTAGTCAGAAATGAAAATATCCTTTAGTTTTCCAATAGGGAATACTTACATATAACTTAATTTACTTAAAAATTTTAATAAGGGCCTACAGAATGAGAAGTAAAGTTGAGAGACGAAAGTAACATATGAATTTAGTTAAAATTAGATCAATTTGCATTAAATTCCGCACTATTTTTGGAATTAAAAACTAATAAGCACGGAACAAGCAGCTAAGGAATGACAGCTTTGCCTTGGCAGTGCAAGGACTGAAAATTATTTCTCGGTGGCAACGGCTAGTCTTGCTAGTTGTCCTTGGCACTCAGTAACATTCTTGCTCATTAACTTCAGCAAGACTTCCAGCAGTAAGGATACGTTGGGAAGTGGCTGAAAATAGTTTCAAAAATCTCAACTTCTTGGCTTCACAGTGAAACGACTGCAGAGTCCAGACAATGGGTCAAAAATCAATCGCAAAACAGAGGTCTCCATGCCGTCGAATCTCCTGAGAATTTCCTATCAGCCTTAGAAAAGACAGCCACGAGAATCACAACCTAGAAGAGCAAGCACCAGAGCAGGAACACAATTTTGATTTTTGTCTCTTGGATCCGGCGAAGTCCAGGGCTCTCTTGTGGCTTCTTCCCAGAACCAGTGCTTGCTGATTACAGCCCTCAGTGGCCCCCGGTCTGGCGCAGCGCGAGGATGTCCCCTGCGTCCGAGGCCCCGGCGTCCGCACCTCTGCCCAGGCTCCCGCGCTCCGGCGTCTCGGTCTGG